TGCGCGTCGACGTAGTTCATGCCCGCAAATGTCGTTGCAGTGCTAGAAGTCGATGTTCCAGGTGCCATTACTCGTTCTGGTCAAAATGAGCAGAAGCTTTCCTTAACATGTTGACCAAAAGTTTAACCCAATACGGGTGTACCACCAACCCAAGAAAAAAGAGCGTGCGTTTTGGGTCGTGTTGGGTGAAAATCCAGATAGGAGCCAAGACCTAGTATGATAGGTAAGCACATACACAACAAAGCCAGTAACAGGCTTACTTTCAAAGCAAACCGGTCGAACGTATTGTGATGTGGCCCCGTTCCCGTTCCTCCGAGGGATCGAGATCTAACCACTAGGCGTCTTTCTGAAACGTGACACGACGAACTTCCACGGCGCATTACGGAGAATGCGCTTCGCGACAAGATGAGCCGCGGTGGCATTGGAATTTCTCGAAAGACAAGCATCGGTTGTAGATGACGAGGCTCATGGAAACCTTTCCCTGAGGGATTCTGCAAGACGTGTGTCCGAGCGCGGACGTTCCGCGAAACGGATGATTCCATATGCCAACGCCACACGATGGAGCTTCGCACCCGCTGTAGTAAAGGGTTGAAAGACAGTCGTGTGAGGCGCCTCGCACTCTTCCACAGAATAGCAGTAACCTTAGTTCGCCAAAGTAATTCAACAAGTCTTCACACTAAACTCTGGATAAGTATTTTCGCCAGTAGAATGAGCATGGCGCAACTCACAATCTCGGTAAGAGAGCCATCCCCAAGGTTTCGTAAATCCTCTAGCCTCCCCTTGAAGCCCTTCGGCTCCTCTTGAACGAGGTAGTGAAACCCCAGCTTGCGTTCTTTGGTGGCATCCAGTTAATACTTGCGAATGTTCGTCATAAAAATCAATATAATGAGTTGGTTGAAGAAAACCCGAAGAAGACCCACCTCATAGAGCCTCACGGAAATAAGTAGTCAATTTGAGTGTCGCTCAAGATTTGTGAAGATCGTCTTGCGTAGTCAAGTTGGTCACGGCGTCGTTGGCGATTCTAACCGAGCCAAAACCTAGCTTCGTCAAACATCGCAACATCTCCGATTGAAGCTAAGCTGTTGAAGATTAACATTAATCGCCACTTATTGAGAGAATATCGTCGGAGAGCGTACTGGAATGGTATGAATAAAACGGAATTTGCCTCTGAGTGGGGAACATTGCCGACTCTTATAGGCAAACATGAAAGAAAGGAGAATGACGCAAGTACGCCTGATCTAAGATACCGCTCGCTTTTTTTCCTCAACGCCTTCATCGGCGAGCACGCGCAATACCGTCTTGCTGAAATTCCACGTTCACGGCGAAGAAGGCAACGTTTGGACCTATGGTGGTAGGGAACAGGTGAACGTTCTACTACTATGTAGACAACTCAATCAATTGCAAACATACGGCAATACGACTCCCTTCTCCTCTTCACCCTGGCCTTGAGTTGCACCACAAACAGAAAACTTTGAGACAAAGGTACGTCTCTCGAATGTTGAGATTCTTTCATTACATAAATTCTTACAATAATGTTTGCCACCCTCAGAAGCGTGCGATTTGCGGCGGCGATGTGATCAAGTCCTGCTGAAGGCCTATTCACAGGCCCTCCACAACTGCTTGTCCACAACGAGTACGTCGGTGTAAACCAGAACTCGTTGAAGCACTACACACCCACCAAAATCGTATGGCTTCGACCCTTAGACTCCTTCGCACTCCCTCTCCCCTTCAGATCCTAATCCCGCCATCCGAGTTTACATGGCCCACCTCACTGCGTGCAGACAACCTCCTCGAACAGCTGCATGGTGTCCAGCAGAGGAGATTGAAATCGGGCGTTTCGATTTGATTCCCATATTATGACTGGCACTCGGCCCTTCCTCAACAAAGTTTTTCTCCAAAGTTTTCCTTCCGCCTAAATCCCTCATTCCATTTCGAATCCCGCGTCTTCCCCCTCAACTGCCTCTCCCCCCACTTCAGATTCTATCAACCCTTCATCCAGACCCTCATCCAAACTTCCCTGTATCGGACAACATGAACTCTGCTTCGTCGTTTCCGCTTCATCGCCACGCGAAGTCCTTCCTCCATTACTAGAATCGACGTGTTTGATGCTGGGTTGGCGAACCGCGTTCCTGAGGATGTTGTGCTTGATTTTAGGTTTCCAGTGAGGAGGAATGCCAGGGTTTCCGTTGGCCTGAATGACGTGAAAGGAAGTTGAGATTCAAAAAGTTTGGACTTGGGAAAGAACCTCTACTCCACTACGCAATACGCACTTAATATCTCGGAAGGGGGGGGGGGGGGGATCACCATTTTGTTGTGCTTCTCAAGCCCAGTCTCAGACGGCGGATACGAACGAGAGGGAGCATGTTCGTCCGTTAAACCTTTGCAGGAGTGTATCGTGCATGGTATGGGTATTGTTCCCTCTTTGGACTCTTCGACGTCGACTTCATCTTCGAGGGTGCCATTCACTCCTGCTACCGTTTGTCGCGTTCGTCTTCGACCCCCCACTCTGTCGAGTTCAACCTTGGATTCTGAAAAATGGAAACCACCATGGCAGACTATGCCCACAAAGCAGCCATCACCGGCTCCATCTACCTCTCCACCATCTCTGAATACGACCTGTACTGCTACTGTGTTCCGGGCCTCGTCGGCGAAGGGCTCTTTCGCGTCTTCTCAGCCTCAATAAGGAAGCCCCCCGGCTACGCTCCCAGCTCATACTCTCAAACTCCATGGGCCTCCATGCCTTTCGTGAATATGTCGATCAGCAACGGTATTTCTGGCCCCGGGAGGTTTTTGGGAGAGAGGAGTATGGGTCAAAAGAGAGAAAGGACCTCTGTGAGCCTGCGGCTCTGTAGACAGCGACGTCGGTGCAGAGTGGGTGGCCTCAAGTGTGTGTGGAGATTTTGATCTTCCGCCCTTCTCGGTGAGTTGTTTCTTGCGCTTCGCCCCTTTTCTGAAGCTGACTATTATACGTTCACCACCACCAACTTTTGTGAGGGAAGGATATGTCCCGCCCCCTCGCTTCAAATGGCAAGTCCGAAAGTGCTGTCCTGTAAGGTCTTACAGTTTTACGGAAACTTCTTGATCTAATTATAAATCAAAAGGTGAAGTTGTACGTGTTCGAGGCCGCCAGCAAAGCGCTCTTCGGTGTCATCTTCTCCAGAGTGACAATGTTTGTGGGGGCCCATGTTCAAAACCGAGCACCTTAAGACACATCGGGAATACTAGGTGTCTGCCCAGTGTGGAAGCGATAGTATACGCGAATGAAGCAGGCTTTCCCTTCCCATAAGCTGTAGCTACAACTTGTTACGTGTTAGGCACTGCAAGCCTGGCACTTATACAAACTAGTACCTTCCCTCTGTACGCACTGCTTGTGAGTTTTTCTCGACCTTTTTACCTCGTACGAAGCTAATCATTCTAGATATAAAGAGAATCGTCCCCCACTGCAACTCTCACACACTCCCCGATAATCAGTCGCGACAAATCTTGATCCCAGAAGGGATGTACAACTCGATGCCCATGATCGGCTCAGAATGCGGGTTCGTTGTATGTAAGGGCCTACTTTTGAAGTATTTCACCAAAATGACGTGTCCAATAAGAGGGGGGCAAACTCGTGCATCTCATCGCTGTCATAGATTACAAGCAGGACATCGACGTTTCAAGTCGAGGTGGGTCTGTTACATCCGTTCTCACTTGTCTGTATGCTTACCAACAACAGACTCAAGATTGCGACGAGGACGACACCCAATGGTCCGGACAGTTCAACGTGCTGAGATGGTAAGCCCTCATCGACGGGAGCTCTTCGTATCTGATTTACCAATCAGTTACCTTTCAGGCTGCCAGAAAAGCGCTACTCACTGTTCAAGACGGACGGACGGACTGACTGACCCAATTTTATCCGAGGGCTTCTCACCGCCAGCTTTGAATCCAGTGCCCAGAACTACGTAGACGTGCGGTGCTGCTTAGCGCAGAACGGAACAAGCTGGTTTGTGCGGTTAGGTGGGTTGAGTGTGATGCACGAACTATGTATACTTATCTTGGCTATTCTATTAGGGCAATGGGAAATGAAAAAGTGGAATGTCGATTTTGATGCAACCCCACCAGCTACAAGCCCTTGTCCTAGACTGGTTGGAAGGACATCTGGACACCTACATGACCACTACATCAGCCATGACGTCGGCAAACTAGAACCACAAACCTTCGTTGAAGAGTCGGTACGTTGTCTATGCCTGTGTCGCATTTCCCTAAACCCTTCATGCGCAGATCGGCCCTACAATCGCTGCCACTCTGATTGACAGGACGGTCATGTGTAATCACATACAGCCTTTTCCGCTCAAATTCAAATAGCAAGGTCATTGTTAATGGTAGTCGTTGAGTTTGCGACTATCTCTGTCGTAACTCATGTAATTACTGTATCCTATTCTAGAACGCTGGCAAAGGACGACCCAATTAAATACAGCTTTCAGTCTTTCGACATACATCACCACTTCGACTCCTCAAAACCCAGGAATAGCAGTCTCCAGCTCTGTCCGGATTGACGTCCGTTCGGGTTTGCATCGCAGGGATATTCCTGCGGCACTAAGAGACAGGTGCTTCGAACGTGTGGAAGTTGGGTTATGAAGCAAGCGTCATTTGCTGCTCACCGTCGTCGGTCTTCAACGGTGCAAACGCTCTTTGGCTGTGAATACACTGAAACGCATGCTCGAAACGCGCCGGGCAAAGTCGTTAAGTGTACACTAAAAAAGTCTCGTTGAGTGCTTGCCGGCCCAAGTCGTAGCAACCCCGTCTAAGGGGAACTGGGGAGGAAAGGCAAGTATACATTCACTTCTTGGGGTTGTGCAGCGTAGTTGTGATATTTCTCTGCGTCTAGCACGATAGAACGACTCGCTAGCCGTGACGGCGATGATGAAAAGGGCAAACATACTTTGGTAAGGACGATGTGAGTTGTATCCTTCGATGCGGATGCACATTGCTTACAGGCCTTGATGTAGCCTTATTCCCTGATGGTAGGGAGCATACTCAAGATCGAAGGTACGTCTTCAGGCGTAAAGTGAATGTGGAAACGTACATGGACATCGCGATTCAAGGACAAATGAGTAGGGGGTGTGACAATTGAAGATGGGGGAGAACAGCGAAAGGATGGCTATGGCGATTCTTGGCTGAGACGGGGACTTTATCAGCAAAACGGGATGGCACATCATGATAGAATCGTCGCTGATAATCGTACCAAGTAGGATTTAGTCTCGTACTGCCCATCTTCTTCACTAGGTTTTCAGTTACCATAGTTCGAGTCCTCTACGTGGTCAATGAAGGAAAATGACGTCGTGGCAAGACCCACTGCCGAGGAGACTTGTCTGTGCTAAGTGGAGAACTCATGCCACTGCTGGAGCTCAAATGGCGACTCGAAGGGGCATTCACCTGGACTGTAACAAAACTTCAGGGAAAGTTCACCTGGAGTTTGTACTCGCCCTCTCCCTCGCCGTTTGGTTGATTCAGATCTGGCAACAAACTTGCGCGCTTTCACGATCGTCGTGGGCAGATTGAAAAGCTCAGTTGGGGAGCCAATGACGTGGGTATATGTTGGAAATTGAGTCAAGGGAATAAAGTCGTGCAATGGAAGAACGAGAAGCTGGGGGGAGCGGGCCAGTGACGTCACTCGAGTGGCTGACCCAGCATAACCAAACAATACACTGCCCGTGGCGCTTAAGTATCTTGATTCTTCACCACTTCCACCATCTCAGGCATCCGAGCGACAAATGTCACTTCCCAATGTTGAATCCCAAGCCACGGAGGATATAGAAAGAGAACGGGAACGAGCACGCAAAGTTCGAAGGCTCACCAAGCGTTTTCGCGTCCTCATCATTGGCCGCGCCAATGCAGGGAAGACAACCATCCTCCAGCGAGTTTGCACTACAACAGAACAGCCGAAAATTTTCAGTCAGGATGGTCATGAGGTATTCCATGCTCTAGACATCATCATCTATCATTATTGATGTGAAAAAGATTGACTCATCCAAGCTCGATCCAACTGCACAGGTAATGTGGATCTACACTCCCTATTACATTTTACTGAAGGTGTGGCAGAGAGGGGAGCATGATATTGAGAATGAAATGATATTTGAGAGCAATACAGCATTTGTCTTTCATGACTCACGTGGGTTTGAAGCAGGCAGAACATCTGAGTTGGATAAAGTCAAGGACTTTGTCCAAAAATGTTCAACCAACAAAGAGCTCAAGGATCATCTGCATGTGATTTGGTAAGTGACTGAGTGGCAACATTGAAGTGCATCTGAATACATCCTGTGTAGGTACTGCATCCCAATCAATGATGAAGCCAGGCCAATTACAAGGGCAGAGTTAAATTTTTTCAATGAGTGTGGGACTGGTAGAGGTGGGTAAATTACTGATAATCTCTTGAATTTCACCTTTTTCTTTTTGTGCAGTTCCTGTTATTGTCCTGTTTACAAAAGCAGATATGCTTGATGCCCAAACCATCAAGCGCCTGGTTGATACTGGAATGGATGTTGAAGCTGCTGCAAATAAAGCTCCAGAAGAGTCAATTGCCATGTTTGAAAAGAATTTTGGTCAGCAACTCTACAAGAAAAAGTATCCTCCCAAGGATCATGTGTATTTTCGAGGTATAACAAACTCATTGACTCATTGACAATAGATTAATTGCATTTAACAGATATGCAAAATCCCACAAGTGACTGCAGTGAACTGCTGCAGAAGACAGCAGCTACCTTTTCAGATGATACACTCTTACAGCTGTTTCTTACAGTGCAGCAAAATAATGTGGCTCTGTCAATTGAATATGCAATTATAAGGTAGTTGCTTCATTTTGAATTATATGCTGGTAAATTGCTGATTATCTAGAATAACAGAGTTGTCTTTCCAGATTGGAAGTTATTCAAAGAAAAGAGAGAGTGGAGGAAGATGGTTGAGAAGATACTGAGTTATTTTCCACATATGGTATGTGGACCTTACTTGACTGTACAGTGGTAGAACAAAATAATATATATGAACAGGCGGTAAGCCAACATCCAGTGGGCCTCAAGTAGATGCTAATGGGATCATGCTTTTGTTATAACAGTGGGTGAGTCAGGATCTAGCTGGCCTTTCCTGCTTGTTGCTGACAAGACCATGCCTTGGGTTATAAACAGTGGGTGAGTCAGGATCTGACTGGCCCTTCCTGCTTGTTGCTGACAAGAGCATGCTCTGGGTTTTGAACAGGATGTAAGTCAGGATCTGGCTGGCCCTTCCTGCTTGTTGCTGACCAGAGCATGCTATGGGTTTTGAACAGGATGTAAGTCAGGATCTGGCTGGCCCTTCCTGCTTGTTGCTGACAAGAGCATGCTCTGGGTTTTGAACAGGATGTAAGTCAGGATCTGGCTGGCCCTTCCTGCTTGTTGCTGACAAGAGCATGCTCTGGGTTTTGAACAGAATGTAAGTCAGGATCTAACTGGCCCTTCCTGCTTGTTGCTGACAAGAGCATGCTCTTGGTTTTGAACAGACTGTAAGTCAGGATCTGGCTGGCTCTTCCTGCTTGTTGCTGACAAGAGCATGCTCTGGGTTTTGAACAGAATGTAAGTCAGGATCTGACTGGCCCTTCCTGCTTGTTGCTGACAAGAGCATGCTGTGGGTTTTGAACAGGCTGTAAGTCAGGATCTGGCTGGCCCTTCCTGCTTGTTGCTGACTGGAGCATGCTCTGGGTTTTGAACAGGATGTAAGTCAGGATCTGGCTGGCCCTTCCTGCTTGTTGCTGACAAGAGCATGCTCTGGGTTTTGAACAGTATGTAAGTCAGGATCTGGCTGGCCCTTCCTGCTTGTTGCTGACAAGAGCATGCTCTGGGTTTTGAACAGGATGTAAGTCAGGATCTGGCTGGCCCTTCCTACTTGTTGCTGACAAGAGCATGCTCTGGGTTTTGAACAGGATGTAAGTCAGGATCTGGCTGGCCCTTCCTGCTTGTTGCTGACAAGAGCATGCTCTGGGTTTTGAACAGTATGTAAGTCAGGATCTGGCTGGCCCTTCCTGCTTGTTGCTGACTGGAGCATGCCTTGGGTTTTGAACAGGATGTAAGTCAGGATCTGGCTGGCCCTTCCTACTTGTTGCTGACAAGAGCATGCTCTGGGTTTTGAACAGGATGTAAGTCAGGATCTGGCTGGCCCTTCCTGCTTGTTGCTGACAAGAGCATGCTCTGGGTTTTGAACAGTATGTAAGTCAGGATCTGGCTGGCCCTTCCTGCTTGTTGCTGACTGGAGCATGCCTTGGGTTTTGAACAGGATGTAAGTCAGGATCTGGCTGGCCCTTCCTGCTTGTTGCTGACAAGAGCATGCTCTGGGTTTTGAACAGGATGTAAGTCAGGATCTGGCTGGCCCTTCCTGCTTGTTGCTGACAAGAGCATGCTCTGGGTTTTGAACAGGATGTAAGTCAGGATCTGGCTGGCCCTTCCTGCTTGTTGCTGACAAGAGCTTGCTCTGGGTTTTGAATAGTATGTAAGTCAGGATCTGGCTGGCCCTTCCTGCTTGTTGCTGACTCGAGCATGCCTTGGGTTTTGAACAGGATGTAAGTCAGGATTTGGCTGGCCCTTCCTGCTTCTTGCTGACTGCAGCATGCTCTTGGTTTTGAACAGGCTGTAAGTCAGAATCTGGCTGGCCCTTCCTGCTTGTTGCTGACAAGAGCATGCTCTGGGTTTTGAACAGGCTGTAAGTCAGGATCTGGCTGGCCCTTCCTGCTTGTTGCTGACAAGAGCATGCTCTTGGTTTTAAACAGGTTGTAAGTCAGAATCTGGCTGGCCCTTCCTGCTTGTTGCTGACAAGAGCATGCTCTGGGTTTTGAACAGGATGTAAGTCACGATCTGGCTGTTCTTCTCTGCTTGTTGTTGATAAGAGGGTGCCCTGTGTTTTAAATAGAAGGTAGGTCTCAGCTTTCTTCTCTTTTCATTTTGCTAAGAAATGATGAGATTGTGAGTTCAGTTCTACAATTTTAGAAAAACACTTATGAAACTCCACTTGTTCAAATAGACAGTGAGTATTTTATTGTTTCTTCCAATATTTTTATAAAAACCAGTATTGACTGAACCAATTACTATTTTAGGCAAAGGATGTCCTCAACCATACAGACTGGTCCTTGGTAAACCTTCACTAGCTTCACTGTGTAAATGCTATTCATTATTCTGACCACCACATAATTCTATCCAGATTCACAATACCAAATCCTTCAAGGACATTGCCTTTCTATGTATTGGTGTGTCTACTCTCATTTATGACCACTCTATCATAACTACTATTTTACTGCTCAGTGACTGCTATCATTGCAGAGCACTCTTTTTTTCTGTGGAAACAGAAACCTTCAGATTCCCCTGCCCCCTACAAATTAGCCATGCAAAAGTTCAACTTGTCTATTGACATGGCAAAAATCAATACTGCCATTGAGGAGGCCTCTCATATGAAAACCAAGGAACAAAAGAAACAGGCTCTTGTAAAGATTGCCATGGACAATCGTCTTCGTGAGTATCAATATTCCAAGTCTTCCAAGGTCTTCTCATTTATTTGATTTAAGCTTTATAAAAGTTTCAGCCCACCTTCCCAGAATTTCATAAATGCAGCACATGTCTCTAGTTAGCACCCATTATGATGCACCTTTTGCCTCGTTGTTCCCAAAAAAAATAGATTGTGTCATTTGAGCAAAAGAAAGTCAAGGATGGTAATTTTTTAAAGTCCACAAGCTTTTCATGTTCTCAAGCTTCCATGGCTTAAGGGTGCCCTTGAGTTGTCTTCACAGTGTATGTGTATGGGAGTTGGAAGAGTTGTTAGAGGGGGGTGAGATGATATACATTCTCCAAAGTCTGTCAGAAAAACATGAAAGATAGATACATATTCCACATTGCAACGTATTCACAAAGAAAGAGGAGCTCTAAGTACCAACAGTGGTAAAAAAAATACAGGTACAAGAAACAACGGCTAGCAATGAGGGAGGACTGGGGAGGTACAGATGAAGGGAGAGTGGCATTAAACTCAAAAGGATGTGGTCGAGTCAACCTCAATAGCTGGCACGATGCTAGCAATAAACTTGAGGAAAACAACCAGATAAAAATCAACCCTCATCCCCTCCACCTCCTCTTCCTCAGCCCCAGCTTGCAGCTGTTGAACGTCCTTGGCGCTCCCAGATGACTTTTGGCTGAACGGCCATTTCTTCTCTTTCTTTGGGGTGTCCTTGCCCAACGAAGAAGAGGATTTACCGCGCTGCGCGAGCTGTTCCTCAACGACACTATGGTTCATCCATTCTATGACTTTCTTCATGACACTGGCGTGTTTGCATGGATGCATGGAGGCGGCTTGGAGAGAGGTGGAGTGGATGAAGGGCTTGATTGTTACTGTTTTCTGGGCATGGTCTGCTGAGATGTCTTGGAAGATTTGGGAGGGGGTAAGTGGGGTGCGGTTCTGTTGTTTCAGTTTAGCTAGTGTAGGACAAAATAGGGCGAAGGGCGAACCTCGTCATAGCCGATCAACCAAACTTGGAGGTCTTTATTGTCCTCCACTGATTCCTGCTGGAATCCGGCAGAATCCGGGGAATTCCTGGAATTCCGGAGGAATCAAATTTGGCAGAGGGCCCTGCCAAATTGATCAAAGAATTCCGTGGAATGGTTCCGGTGATCACCTGGAAGGAATGCTCACGGAATAAGACAGAACAGAATTCCTGACGCCCAAATCAAGCATCGGCAAATGCCAACACTTGATTTGGGCATCATCAACAAACAAAGCACTCTCTCCTCTCAACCACCACCTT